TATATTAATTATAAGTTATTATATATAAAACCCAAAACAAAACAGAGCTCTGAAATTTTATCAGCAAGTTGAAGTTTCTACTGGGAAGCTTGGAATTGATTATTTGGGAATTAAGGATGGGAGGATCTTGCTATTGGAGAAGTCTTTTTTACAGTCCCTGTGTAATCAGCCCACTTCTGGCTTGCCAGTACTGCTGCAAAAACTCTTCTTTGTCTCCATTTTCCTTAGAGCCTGCTGGAGGCTTGCTGCTGCTATTTTGTTTTTATTAAGCATGCTTCAGGTTTTCATTGGTGCATCATATACTACGTCTCCCATTATATCACCTTACAGCACTGGATTTGGACATGTAGTAAACAATGCTGTCTTACTTGCAGTGTTTAACTCTACCTTTCTATTTTAGGTCATTAAATTAAAGGAGAACAGACAGGGTTAATGCATTTCCCCTTTTCAGATAAAAGCAAAGAGGTATTTCTGTTCCCAGATGTGGAAAAGTATCAGTCTGCCACAGTTCTGTTTTTCATGTATGTTTTGTTTGCTTTAGCTGCTGGGATGTAAATGCTAGAGTTTCGAAGACCAGTGAAGTTCTTTGTCCTTCATCTTTCATGACAGAATCAAACTGGGAAAGTGCAGTTCCCCATCCATTTTTTAAATGTATGTATTTTTTAACATACAAAGTAAATGAGACACGATAGCTTTGGAGCAGAGCCCAGGGTCTGTATGTGATACATCACCTCTTCAGTGGTGATTTTGAATAGTTCTATGCTTTTCATGTTGTGTACGGCTGAAGGGATTGGTACAGAAGCCATTTTGAGCCTGTGCTTCTCTACTGTCTGAGAGCTCTAGCCAGTTTTCTGCACTACAGAGCCATGTGGAAGTGAAAATATATGATCATTATATGTTCATGATTCCTTGTGTGTAGAATTCCATTAGGGAGGGCTGTTCTTCAGTTAGTGGAAAGCAGCTATATGGAGCCAAGAACCTGATTTCTCCATGCCACTAAACCAACTTTCATTCTTATTCATGCACTTTACTTTTTAGAAGAATTTTGACATGATTTTCACTTTCTGTATTGTGGTAGGCTTTATGGATTTGCCACACAGGTCCCCTGCATTTGCTGCTAATATTGCACAGTGAAAAATGTAGAATGTTTTCTTAAGTGTAAGGCATTGACCTGGCATCTCTTCCTGCAGCATATACTCAAGTATGGTTTGAGCTTTATTACTTTCTAGTTTCTGTTAAAGATTTTGCCTTTATTTGTAGTCCATTGACCTTCATAGAAGGTATTTTAACATACTGAAAGGGTTATTTGGTAAGCAACGGACATTGTTTAACATAAAGCAAAAATATTTTATTGAGCATAAATATAGTATGTTCTATTATAAGCTTATTTTCTATTTAATTTCTTTCTGAATAATAAATTATACCACTGTGCCAAGTGTCATATGTCTCTATTTTTAAATAACACAACCTGTGTCTCAGGTATTAGATATTCAGGTACCTGCAACATTCTTTCCAAAGGTGGGTGAATACTGCATGATTTGATAGGTGGAAAACTGAGAATTGCATAGACTGTTCATGATCTAGGAATTGCTTAAACATTAAGCTAGTGGCCAGGTGGCTTCAGGTAAGTCACGTGAACACTGTGATGTTTTGATGAGTGATAGGGAAGGAGGAAAAGAATGGCAAGTCACTGAATTCTCTACCAGACTGTCTGTCCACTTTATGCTCTGTTGGTTTCTGCAGTGTACAAAGGGCAACTCAACTGTCCTTTGAAAGTAGGATTGGGGTGATGGAGTAATGGGTTGGTTTGATTTCTTTCTTGATATGGTTATTGTGTGTGAATTGTAGATTAGTACAGCTTGCAATAAAAGAAAACCTTTTGCCATTTTATCTAATTCTCAGGGTCTTGACAATGTTCATAAACAGAGAGTTGCTGAAGTGCTGAATGACCCTGAGAGCATAGAAAAAAGGCGAAGCCGAGAAAGCCTCAATGTTGATGTGGTAAAGTACGAGAGTGGTCCTGATGGAGGCGAGGAAGTGAGTATGAGCGTAGAATGGAATGGGGTAAGTACAGTACACAGTTTAAGGAAATAGCCTAGATAAATTATCACCATAACAGATATGGTTGTCCATTCACAAGCCTATTGTGTTCTCAGTTGTTCCTTGGTTAATCTACTTAGTATTTCATAATTTTGCAGAATCAAGAAATAAAGAATAACATTTTGTTTATCATAACATAATTTATAAAAATTGTAACATTTAAAAATTTTAAACCATCCTTTCTGTTGTCCTGAATGGTGAAATTTCTTCAAGAATCCTAAGCAGTTGTATTTAACTCTAAGTTGTTTAATGCTGATTGAGTGTCCTGGTTATGGTCTGGTGTACAATTGCTTGTTAGCGGTTTCTTTTTACTGGTAGAAATATTCTGGCAATTAACTTACTTTTGCTTTTGTCCTTTTGATGCCTGTATTGTAAATGTTCCTTTAAAAATACTGCATCTCTTGGAATCACAAAGAACATTTGCTATGGAGATTTATTAAGTGTCAGCAGTTTTACAGTAAATAAGTGATGAATAACACTAAAATAATTCCAGTCTCCTCCTTACCCAACTTATTAGAGGGGAAAAAAAAGTAACTTTTCAAGCTGCTATACAGTCCATTTTAAGAAGCAGTGCCATCACATAAAAATTTGATAGTAACTTCACATATCTTAAGTGAAATATTAATAACATTTTTCTGTATTAGAATTTGACTGGAGTCAGGGCTTGTTCCTATTTTTTCCATATATTGGCTTCACTGTATAATACTGATTGTTGTAAAGTAAAAACATACATATAATGTGATAACATGTAGATTTTTGTAACCATTGTTTTCCTTTAATTTGAAAGACAGTGCCAGCTTTCAGTTATTGATCTGGCTTATGTAGTTGCTTGCTTCTGTCACCACCTTTCCCATGCTTTATTCCATTGCCAGCAATGGGATATATATTGCACTGTTAACCAACTCCCAGCTGCAGTTCTGCTGAAAATAGTCTCTTAGATTATAAAAGTGGTGTTTCCTGCTTTTGCTGTATGGGAGGGGAAGTAGCCTACTTTGCAGAATTGAGTGTTCTGAAGTTTCATTTCTCTTACAGTAGCAATCTTTTTTTGTTCTTTTTATTAGCCACGTGAGGCAAAGTTTAGCATTCTAAAGAAACCTTGATAGAACACATACTGCTTTAGTCTTCAAGGAGAAGGTTCTTTCCATCTTTGCTTTTGTCTCTTTATTATTGTTTTCTTGGCATTGGTGTTCTCGGTGCCAAGACAGTCAATCAGCATCTATTGTGAATAACTCTGCATCATCAATAAAGCCAAAGGTTGGATTAACACACTTTTTAATTCTCATTTTGCCCATTCAGTGTTAGAACTGTGTACTGTACTCCTCCCTTAATTTTCGCTATACTTTGCATGACTATATGTTCTAAGTGGATTAAACTTTTTTCTGTTATTGACATTAATTAAACAAGCATGCAGGTTTTGGATTGAAAGGGCCTTCTGTGGAAAAGCAATAGACAGTATTTCTAGGTCAATATGTGAATGAAACTCAGTGATAAAATTTGTTGATCTGAAAAATTAAATTTTGAACTCTCAGGGCAAACTTCATTTTTAGTGTGCTGAAGTGGCATCGCTTTATTCTCATCTTAGTTTATTTCTTTTTTTTTTTCCCCTCACGAAAGGTACTTTTGTATTACATGTTTTACATAAAAGTGGGCAACTCTCTCTCCCTCTACCCTGCTAGTGTTTCTCAGTGCTGTTCTTCCCTCTACTTTATATTGTGTAGTTTTTTTTACCCTCGTGTGTTTCCTCCAGACAAAATAATCTGATTCATAAAGTGTAGTAGAAGTTTTTACTTCTGTCTTTTCCATTTAAGTTCTTCTGAAGTGATCAAGCTGAGTGTCAGAATACTTGAGTGTGTAAAGCAACAAATTTCAACAAAAAATTGTTGGAAGATTTATTGTAATTAAGTGACTTCCATATGTAATCTAATCTCTATTAAGTAGGATATGCTTGGATCTTGCACTCTTACAAAAAGAACTGAAATAGCTATTGAAGTAAATTTGCCATTAACTATTAAAACTGATACGTTAAGTGAAGTTGTATAGTGCATGTTTACATGTTTCTTAGAAAGTCCATCCCTCTTAAGTTAACAGAAAATACTTCAAAAAGCAAAGAAATACTTGGTCCTGAAAATTCAAGGTACAAATCTCAAGATCTCTAGCCCTTATTATATTTGTATATAAAAAATGACAGTGGGTATCTAATTGACATTTTTGTAAATTGATCTTGCAGCCAGTTGCAGAACAGATAGAAATCCTTGTGGTGTGACAGTGCTTAATGTAAGGTTATGTTCTCAGTGTGAGAAAGTATCTTTTCTTACTCTAACCTGTATGCTTCAAAGATACTTCTTTTGAGCACATTAGTCTGCTTTCAGGTGTGAAACAAAAGCAGTACATTTCACTACCATACAGTAGCTGCTAAGAGGTGCTCTTCTTTAAGAAGTATCAGATCATTCAGAGAGGCATTGTAGCAGACAGCTACAGAGTACAGGAGATGATGATGGTGGGGAAGTCTAAGCAGTAAGGTGATTCTCATTCTGAGTGACATGAAAATAGGCAATTAATCTTTGCCACAGAAATGGAGATTTTCTGCTTTTGTTTATGCTAGATTTAGGATTTTTTTTTTTTTTTTTTTTTTTTTTAATTTTTAACTCCGTTTAGGGTTTTTTTTTTTTTTTTTTTTTTTTTTTTCTTAAATCCTAAACTCGTGTTTTAAAGATTTGGGTTTTTTTAAATCATGCAGTCAGTGTTTAACTTGAGAGTTTTAATATTTTTATTCCAGATTTGAAGTAACCAAAAACTTGTCTGCTTATTCATAATGTGCTAGTTAGCATAGTAGAAGTTATGCGCCCCTACCAAATTTGTCTTGCCTTTGTTCTTTAGATCATTATCACTACTATAGCATTACTGGTTTAAGGCCATAGGAATAATTAGCCTTTTCACTGATGTAATACTTCTAATTACTTCTGTAATTTTAATTACTGTTTATTCCAGTTGCTGAAGGTAAAGGCTTTCAAAACAGGTACCTTAAGACTATCAGTAATGGTCTCTGTGCTTACATCGAGAATGGAAAGTGTGTAAATTGAAGTACAGCTTATTTTTAAAAGTGGATTCTTTCAGATGCCTCACTGCATTAGGAAAAGGAGACAAGTTTCCACTTGGATTTTATATATTATTTTATATATATATTTATACACACAGAGGGATGTGTTCTAAAATTATTCTGAAACTAAATTGCCACAGGTCAGTTGGATTCTAGTTCCGTAAAGGAATGAACAGGATTTTGTCTGGAGGCTATGGGAAGACCTCTTTCTTCTTGCTATTGTGTTTTGAGGAACATTCCTGACAGAAGTTAAAGCTGAAATGAATGCACCTTGCTCTGTTCCTTTCTTCTGGTTTGTTTTTTATTTTTCCCTTTATTTTTTATTTTTGTGTTAATGTTAGCTGAAAAAAAAATCCTTTGCTTACAAAATGTAATACTAAAGCTATCACTTCTTAAAGGTTTTTTTGTATTTTGTACAAATTCTAACTTAAAGAACACATGGAATCATTCACGCTCATTTGTAAGTCACCTATTAGTGATACAGGTCAAACTGCAGAAAGATGTTAAGTTCTGGTAATTGCAAGGGCCTGCACTTTGTACTTCAGGGCAGTCCAAATAATCCAGAAAAAAAATGTTTTGAACATGACCTAGAAATACTGTAAACTTGACTGTTCAAAATTGAAAACTGTTGAATTTTCCCCAACAGTTTCATTGAGTTTTTCTCTCTCCATTTCTGACAGGCCTAGATGCCTTTTGTGATTCTTATACTGTCTCCTGCATGACGGGCGTGCACCATCTTCAAGCTTTAACTTCTCTCTTCAGTACTGACTGCTGTGTTCTAGCAAACCCCTTAAGATTCTTGTCAGAGCTACACTTCCCTGTAAACTGGCCATTCCTTCAGTGCTGGTGTCTTTTTTTGGTTTCTATTTCTGTACCTGTGTAGCTTTGCCAGATATGTATCTAGTCATACAAAATGTTATTACAACCATTTGCTGTGTAATACATAGAAAACAAAAAGTAACAATGAACTTTAGAAGTAGCTGTTCACTATGGAAAAAAGGTAGTTAAAAATATCACACAAGGTATTACTGAAATGGCATGATGGTGATCTTTACAGGAGAAAAACAAAACAAAACCCATAAAAGTAAGGCATGTTCTCCAAGTGCTTTAAAATGTATTTAGAGACCTATTACATGGTTAACATCGATATGGAACTCTGGATGTCTTCAATTATGAGTATTCTAAAGTAGCATTGCTGTATAGTCTTTGTGTGAGATTTTCGCAATTATGCTTTTCTCTACTAATCTTGGTGTTCAGTGATTTGTGTATTTGTCTTTCTAACTTCTAATAAACTCACTCTAACTCAGGTGTCTGTCTTTGTCTGCTTAGTAGCACTTCACTTTCTTCTTTTACAATTCTTGTTTCATAGTCGCACAGGATTTCTGTGAAGTAGGAAGTGATCGCTTCTAATCTTACTAAATGGTTGGGGGTTGTTTTAAGAGTTAAACATTTAAAATAGAATTTTTGTTAGTTGGAAGTTTCTTTTGGTCAGCACAGCAGTGTGTAAAACACGAATGCAGTGTACGAAAAATTCATTTTGTTGTGTTTTACATTTTCTTTGGTAAAAGTTTAAAACGAAGCACAGGAATTTAACCATACGTGTTTCTGGTAAGAAATATTTTTGTTTCAGGACTAGGGTTAAACATGTTTGCAAGTAATGTAGATGTTTAGAAAGAATAAAACAGGGTTTTTTTCTTAGTGATGGAATGCTTTTGTGTGGGGCTTGTACTATGTTAACTACAGTGTGCTCTTATAAAATGGTAACATGGTGATGGTGAATTGTTTGACTCCTGTGGTGGGTTTTTACTAATTATTATGAACCATGGCTTGAGCATGGCTTGACACTTCAGAAATCTGTTACTGTTTGGAAAGAACCTTTTTGTTATAATAAGGTTGTAGCTATATAGTATTATGTGTTTAGGTAATTGTACCAAGTACCTATTAATAGCAATTAAAAAAAAAACATCAGTGAAATGGTCTTGAGCCAGGTTTGGGGAAGGGCACCAGCTCTTGCAGTTTCACATTTGTTCAATTTTTTTCAGGATGGCACTGGATCTTTAAAGCGCAGTGGTTCCTTTAGCAAACTTCGTGCTTCCATTAGACGCAGCAGTGAGAAGCTGGTTAGAAAGCTGAAGGGAGGAAGTTCACGGGACAGTGAACCAAAGAATCCAGGGTAATTATCTATTCTTAGCTATGCTGCTGTGCCCTCCTTCTGTGCCCCTACTGTAGCCTAGTGTAGTACCTAGAGCAGTGTTTTCTTCTCTGCTTAGCTAACTGCATTTCATATAGAAAAATAGGAAATAATTTCTTAAACTTATAATTAAAGTGCTGCAACATCCGAGGAATTATATTTGCTTTTAAGAGTTAACTCAATTTTAACAGTGTTTTTTCCCTTTTTACTGCTTTAGCCATTTGAGGAATAGAAAAGCCTCATAGAAATATTGATAAATGTTAGTTACCTGCAAAATTCTCTTCACACAGCAGTGAAGAAAAGTAAATATTACTGATTTTTGGTATAGCTTAATATCCTGATTCTTAATAGAGCTTTATATATTGCTGTGGGTATAAATAGAATTACTTACTTGAGCCCTTCTCAGTTTCTATTTTTGGAAACCCCAGATTTCAAAGAGCAGAGGAAAATGTAGAAAATCTTCAGCCTCATTGTGCATCTCAGTAACATTTTGGCCTCAGTAAAGTCAGTGGTAAAAATTTGAATTTTAGTGAATTTAACTTTCTTATTTACCATATGATTGTGGATTTGGGTGTATGTCATATTTCTAATAATTGCATTAAAAACATTCATCACTTGCTGCTGCAGAGAAGTCAAAATATTAAAATACACTGCTACTTTTCATAATGGCATTCATGGGTGTTCCCCTTTGCCCCAGCATTATTGCAGTCAAATTTGCAGGATTTTTTTCCCCTCGCTATGGAAAACTGGAACCCACTTAGTTGACAGGAAACTGGATGACAATGTGAATTTGAACTTATGCTTTAAAACAGTTAAATTAGAGAATGTGGAGTAACTTCTGATGGAGCAACTGGATCTTATTAATATAGTAGATGATAATGATGGTAATACGTGAGACAGTGATCTGAAGGCAGGTTCTTGATGTGTTCTGTAAGTGCTCCACTGAAGTTTTGCCTCACTGTTTTCTGTGGCTGTAAAACATTGTGTACAGCTGCAATACATGTAGAATTCACATGTGATTAGAAGAAGGAAATAAGTAAATGTAAAATGCTTTAGGGAAAACAAGCAAATGCAAACCAAAATAGAATAAAAGGGATTTCTTTCTTTGTTTTCAGTGTGAGCATTTTCATACTTTGGTTTTCTGGTTTTATTCAGCTCTGTCTAGAGTTCATACATTGTAGCTCTGGTATATTATTGTATGAATAGATGTATATATTCATAGCTAGTTTTGCATTTTCTCATCAGTTTTTGAGACATGGAAAGGTTTTAAGTTCCTTAAAAGCCAAGAGTTTTATGCTTTGTTCTCTATAGTAAATAGAGCTATTTTGACTCTAAGTAAAGTAATTCCATGATTATAGGTGTAGAAAATTGTGCTTGTGTTTAACTGAAGACATTTGGCTTTCAATTTCGTGTAAGAATTCATCTGCCTTTTTATTGTCTGCACATTAGGAATGTTATTTGACCAACGTAGAAGTAATTTACCCACATTAACATTAATTGTATCGTAGGGTCTCTATCACCAGAGAAGATTTCCTCAAGTAAAGACATTACAATGAAACAGATTTGAAAACAAAGCAGTATCTTTCTTGCTTTCACTTTTTGACAAAGTATTCTTGTTCTTTCGATGTCACCATAGTTCTCAAAGAATAATTTAAACTTGCAGTACATGTTTTGCACTGACAGGCCTTTTTGCAGATACGCACGTTGAATGTGTAAGACAATAAATATTGCAAGCTCGGTTTTTATGAAATGGAGACATTTTTAAATCCTAACTTATACTAGCTGATTTTAATAACAAAGATGCCTGGTATTAAAACACCAGCTTTGTAGCTCTGAAGCATAGCTGTACATACTGATAATCCAGGAAGTAATTTTGATTTCATTTTCTGAAAAAACTTTAGTAAACAGATCTATTATTTTTCTGCTTCTGAGTTTACTAAAAGGGATATTCAGTTTTATTACGCAAGCATTTGTTTTCAGAGTGTTTGATACGTGAATATTACAATAGTGACATAGCGTAATATAAATCATTTTTGCTGTGAAGTCAGCTGCTCTAGGTACATAGAGGACATATGTGCCTCCCTCCTTAGCAGTACATGGCCGCATTCCCTGCCTATGTCTCTGGGAAGACTGTTTTGAAATTAACTTGTTGCTTATACTGTGCTTCTGTAAATAGTAATTAACACTAGTAAGATTCTGAATGAGGCATACTCAAACAGAAATACATTAATACCATAGCATGAAAGAGACAGTTATCGTGTTGTTGCTTGGTACAGAAGGCTGGAGAAAATAAAGTAGAAAACTCATCAGGGAAATTTTTTATTTAAAATCATGCAAAAGCCTTTTTGACAAAGAATAAGAATTGTTCTTTGAAACACACAGTACCTGAAGCATGGTATCAGTTCTTCAGTTCTGTAATAATTTAACTTCACTCAATTTAGATTTGATGTTTTCACTTTTAAAAATTTTGATCCTAGCTCAGAACAGTTAAGATTTATAATTCCAAAAAAGAAAAAAAAAAAAGCTTTCATCATTACTTGAGCGCTCGAAAACCAACTGCATGCTCTTTGTGCGATTATGTTTCTAACACGGAGGGAGTTAAAAGTGCATTTGCCAGACTAAAGTTCTCAAGCATGTCGATTTAAAAAACCCCACACAAACAAAACAAAACAAACCCCCAAAAACAACCCACAAAGAAACCAGGATCTCATGTGTGATTTAAAAAAGAAAATATTTTCAATTGGCACTTCTGCAAGCACCTAAAAATACATGTCTAAGTTTTTACTGGTGGATTTTCTATTTCCCTGGAATGTTTTCCATAAACCTTTATGCTCTTTTGGAGAGTTTCATGTGATGTTTGTATGTGTTTTACAGATTAACTTACTTTGACTTCCATATATAACCGCTTCTTCTATGTGTTTCCTTGGATAAATGAGAGGCGTATACCATGCATGAGACTTTGCTTTGTTGTTGCTAACACTCATGTTAAACTGTGTGTGTTCTAGCTTCTGAAACACTCAGGTTTAATGCTAGGAGAAGACAGTGAGCCTGCGTTATGTAGCAGCTGTTGCCTGTGTGTGTTAGTGTTTGGTTTGTTATTCTGCTAAATCTTTGCTTTATGAAAGCATTTAAAAATCATGCTAGACTTCAACTGTTAGTAGTCTTGCTTCAGTAGGAAGAAACACGGGTTAATATGTAAGGTGATCTGTATGGATAAACCTTTCCATGTTACTGGAAGGCATTAGAAACTTGGCTTTGACCAGTTATGTCTGATGAATTAGGGCCTCATTGTCTTGTGAATAGTTCATCAAATACATATTCAAAGCCCTCCTTCAGGAGTTCTGAAGTAGTTAAAGAGGTAGTGAAAAACAAAGCAAATGTAGAACATTCTGAGTAACTCGGAGATAACTGAGTAACTGAGACACTTGGAGATAAAGGACCTCAGACATGCCTGTTGTAGTCACCATGATGGTGTGAATCTTAAGGCTCATTTTGAATTTCATTACGCATTTTAAAATATTCTGTTAAATTTTGTGTATGTTTGAGAAATGTAGGTAAACTACTAATCCCCATCTCAAACAGCAGTAGATACCACAATTGATGCAGTGATATTCTGACTCTCAGTAGCTCCTGTGTAGGTGATTAATTTATTTTTTTAAATCATCTTTTGCTTTCAGTACAGTATTCTCGGGTGGTTGTGTTGTAAAGCCCAAAGCATAACCAAAGTTAACAGCAGCAACCCTCTTGCTTCCTTTCACGTGTAAAATAAAAAATTTTCAAATGCTTTTTGAAATTGATTCTGAAGATTTACCTAGATCAGACAGAAAGCCCTAAACTGATGTTGTAGCTTTTCCAAGTTAAATGCTGCCTACGTAACAAACTTATTCATGCTTCACTTTTTTTTCCCTAAACTGTCTGAATGTTTTGATGCTTTTGTAAGAAGCTGCATAAAATTGAAACTGAGAATTAATCAATGCTAACTCAGTGTATTAATTTGATACGCTTTAAAACCTGAGATTTTGTTTTGAGTTGAAATTAAATCGGTGGCCTGTAATGTTTAAGCTCTGAAGAGCTGGTTATTTTTTTTTCTTGTTTTATATGTAAATTAGAACTGAATATAAACATATTCTAAGCTATGTAGTTATCTTAAAGGGTATCCCTCAGATCAGTTTTGGGGCATTGTTCAAACTCCCTTAACTGTGCATTGCTCATTGTTACATTTGTGTTTTTAGCACTGTTAGTTTTCAGCTGTTCTGATTGGTTTATCCTTGCATGTTCACTGTCCTGGTTGCAGCATGAAGCGTGCCAGTTCTCTGAATGTTCTTAACATGGGTGGCAAGGCTACTGAAGATCATTTTCAAGTAAGAAGCCCTACAATACTCTTACAAAAAATAGCTATCATTAGTAGGGTTTGGGATAAAGAGAGTGTGATGATTAATAAAACAACAAACTCCCAATGAGTGGTAAGAGCCTACCTTAGTAAGATGCTTAAAGCATATGCTTAAGGCATAATTCCTTAACGCTTTTGTGAACTATGCTTCATTTTAAGCAAGTGCTTACGTCTGGCCAGTAAAGAGCACTGGCTTTTATGATACCAAGGAGTCTCTACTTTGGACTTTCTGACTATTACAGTGGATATGAAACTTCTGGAATCATATGTTCTTGTGAAGATAAAATACAGGAACTTCTAAAGCCCAGTTCAGGATTTGTTTACTTCATCCTCTTTATTGCAAAGGGCCCAGTCATCTTAATTGCTGCACGTTTTCAGATTCCTTTAAATGAAACCTCAGTTGTTTCTGAGGTTGAGTAGGAGCAGTCTCTTGTCTGATCTGTGTTATGCTTCTGCTAATATAAAACCTTAATTTGCTTAACTGTAAACCATGTGCCCAGTTGCTACTTCCCATTTCCTGTTTTTACCTAATAAATCATTGTTTCTTACATTGTCAAATGAGTTAGCAGTGTTCTGTGTTCTAAACGCTGTAGTGCATTTTACTAACACAGTAACTGCAACTAATTTTTAGGAAGATAAAATTGCTTCTGTACTAACAAAACTGTATGTTTCAGATCTTGATCGCTGTCCTAAAGTAGCAAGAAAGCCCAAACTGTAGGGCTCTCATTTTGCTGTTGAGTGGTGTAAAGATGTCTTAACTATTTTATCTGTAATGAATGTACTGCGGAGTTTTCTGTGGTGTGACATACATGAGTAACTTTGCGTAGGGTGAACTTCAGCAAGAAAAAAATAATCCAAGGTAAAGCATAACTCTTTGCAGCAACAGTGACAAGGGTTCAGAACGCCATGCCCTAGGTGCCCCTGAGCTGGATCCTTAGTGTGTAATTGATGTGACTTCCAGAAGAGTTGCTTGTGTGTACACAGCAATACTAAAATTAGTTCTCACTTCTTGTGAATTTCAGTAGTTCGCTCGCTGTAGATGCTTATGGCAATTCCTATAGATGGGCTCTTGTGTTTCTGGTAAGGTGTAGGTCAGGTTTGTAAAGGGTGTATATACCTGTGAATAGACCTTTTCACTATCACTAGTTGAAAGCTGGGGAAAAAGATGTTTGTTAGAATATGGAAAAGTTGTCCCCCTACCCAACATGAACAAGGCCAGTTCTCCATAGTTCCTTGTATTTGTTGTTCCTGTATGTTAAAATGAGTAACTTTGTTTATTTGCTTGAACTTTCTGGACGTCTGCTTAATTTATTTGTTTGTCTTTTTCCCCTTCACACAGGAACGAAATAATTGTCTGACAGACACGAGAGCTCTGAGTGTCAGTCATACTGATTTGGCGCATTGAGAGTCTTGGACAGAAGCTAGCTAATATTCCTTTGTGAATAAAGAAGCACTGAGACCTTCAAAGCTTTGGTTCCTCATCATTATGTATAGGAACACCTAGTTTGTAATTTTGTTGGGTTTTCTTCCAATGGACTGCTGGTTTTACTTTTCTAAATAGGAATGATTTTAAAAACAGCATTAGTGGGTGTTTTCTTCTAAGGGAAAACTATGTAGATATATATTGCTCATTGCACTGCTCCCATTCATGCTACTTATGTTGAGTTCTTTAATAGATTGGAATATTACAGCAGCCAAAAAAGTGTAAAAATACAAACATATTTAAAGCATACCAAAATGCATTTGAAAGCGCCAGCAAAATTAGATGTGTAGCAGTAAATATATACAGTGCTGGAATGAGAAAAGGATACATTGATGTGCATTACTGTATAAATTCAAATTAGGTGTACTGTATTAGTGGGGCTTTCTTTTGCTCCACTGATTACTGCAATGTTAGAAACCTTAGCTGTCAAAACAGCACTTAGACACGGCTTACTTAACCACTATATTGAGCTATTAAATTTATCAGAAGGCTGGGGTTGCATTATATAGACATAGCATGAATAGCAATACCTGTGACCATGACTTTGATACTTGCTGATGTCTTAGGGCACAATTATCAATGGAGACAGGATGGTTCATGTTGATCGGGAGAAATGGAAAATGTTTTGACCTTTACCTTGTATGGTTGAAGAATACAGAAATTTTGGACTGCAGCTGTCCCAGAGCAGCTCCTGGAGCTCTTGGGGAAACATAAACCCTCAGGTTGACTGTCTTGCTTGTCCACTGGAATTCAAAGTCCAATCCTATTTGCTGGAAGGGCCCCAGCATTTCCTTACGCTGATCCCAAATCCTGCCTTTCTCCATGATAGCTGACAACAGCAGAAGCAGGCAGCTACACACTAGGCTGTTACACGGTGGAGCAGCTGCTGTGCAAAGGACCACTCAAATCCTAGGGGCCCAGGGGGAAGCATTAGATGGCCGTAGCTGGCAAGCAACTGGTTAGACCATGCACCCATATTACAGTTAATATGTATGCTGTCTGTATACAGGACTGCTGCTGGAACTAAGTATGTATGTTTTAAGTATTTTATAGACTCTATAGTATTTTCTTTTGCTTTTCTGTAAAGCTTGTAATTTAGTTCATCTTTTGTAAAAGTTCTTATTCATGTGGAGTTGGATGAGAAAGTAGAACGAGTGTGTGTACAAATGTATTTGTGGTCATAGCTGTGAGTTGGAAAATGCCGAAGGAAGCTAACTTTGGGAAAAGCTGGAATATTCATTCAAGGTTAGTGACAGCCGAAGGAGGCAAAACAAAGGAACATAAGCAAGTTTTAGTATTTGAATAGACTGTGAGGAGTCATTAGAATTTATAGAAGCATTTGACTGATTTTTGCATCTGGTTTCAAGTTGGTTACAATAACTGATGCAAAAAGCTGTATATGTTATGCACTTAACTATGTTTACCAGGATGTACCTTACAAGTATGGTGTACCTGCTAGAAAGACAGTTTAGAAACAGTGAGACATGATGCTGCTAATGTGTAGGAGTTTTAGCACAGAGTAATGCAATTCATTAATGAACTCGAGCAAGAACAGATTGTTGCTCAGTTACCTTAACAATATGTACTTATATTATGTAGACTCTTGAGTTTTAATCTTTTTATTAAGAGCTTTTTATATAAAAGAAAAAACATAATATATATACTTTTATTCCCCCTAAAGCAAGATGTGTTGTATGCACTCATTGGTGAATTGGTTCTCCACCCAAAAGCAGACTGAGCTGGCTCTGCATGAGGAGCTGGACATGGGCTGCAGCTCACTGAGCAGGGCCAGCCGGGAAGTGACAGAGCTGTCTGTCCCTCTGGCTATGAACAGCCCTCACAGTCGGCCCATTCCACACCAGCATGCTGCTACCACTGTAGGTAGCGGCTTGGCGGGCCTGGTCTTTGAGCTCAGCACTTCACTGGGAGAACGTTAAGAGTCCAGCTCCCAAAAAAGCCCACAAAACTGTTTAGAGACAGAGCTGATTTTGGTCATAAGGAAGTACTTAAATGGAAGAATTTATCTACATTGATCTTTCAGCTTTGAATGAAAATTATTTTTGCAGCCTCTCAAAAAATACCCCCACAAACCAACTCATGTAAATAGCAATAAAATACTTAACCATGCCAAACTACAATGTGCAGGAAGTTTTAAAAGGCAAGACCATAGTGGGGTGATGGTGGTAGTGAGGGAGCTTTCTTGTTCAGGATCTTAGTGTTGGTGGCATTACTAGTAGTGTGCTTTTAAATGTTTTAAACCTTTATATAGTATTGTAAAGTGTGTTGGACGATTAAGTTGTTGAGCTACTGCTTATTAAACAATCCTTACATTTAAAAGGTTATTTCCCCCACCCCCACCCCCACCCCGAGAAGAAACAGATTTCAAGAGTTCTCTAATCCATAAATCACCCAGAATTATAGCCAGGTCCTGATAGTTACGAGCCAGGGAGCTGTTTGAGAAGAACGTGTAAAGTACAAAAGCAAACCTGGTGTGTTTGAGTGGTGAATGAGTTACTGTCAGGACAATGTCTGTATACATTTAAATTTCAGGTGGGCCTTTTAGTGTGCTTTTATGGAATATTTTCTTCCTGAATTTCCCTGTACCACTTGTAACTAACAGTGCACAAAGTGTAAACCCAGAATACCCACTTGTGTAAGTCCTGCATGGCTTCAGTACTGAACCAAATCAACAGCTCTTATGAAACAGAAAAGTAAAAAAGACTTTCAGAATTGACAGGCACTTTGTTAGGGCTGGCCTGCTGGGTTTTGAGTCCCAGTTTTATAAGTGTGAACTTTACTCAAACCATGATGAGGACTCCCGTTAGGCCACTTTCTCCAGGTTCTCTTACAGGTGGTGGCTGGTGGTGCTAGAGTATCGCAGTGGGGTGCTGCAGGAACAGCATGTGGAATTGTTACTCATGGAAAGATGCCAAGCCTTGTGTCTATGTGGTGGTGTGCAGGTCTTTAGGAATTATGGCAGTATTTGGTCTTGAGTTTAGATCTTACTAAATACTATTGTAGAATGTAACTAACTGTTTCATGATTTGCTTCTCCTTAGAAGGAATAACTGGACTGTTGCTGTGATGTTTGTGCTTGCAGTACTGTGGTGACAGAACAAAGCACTGAAACAATAGAAAAACTATTGAATGCGTTCTCTAGAGTTTGAACCTTTCCTTAAAACAAACAGCACCCCTCTTCCCCCAAGTCTTCCTGAATGCTAGTAAAATAAGATGGGTTTAAGCTTGAGGAGTATTTGTGCTTAAATTGTACCATTGAGTACCATTTTGAAAATGGTGTGATTCTGTTGTAAACAAATAGTAAAAGGGGCATGCAGTGCTGCAATGGAAGTGTGTTTACAAAACCTGATGAATTCAAGTTACTTCAGTTTTTGTTATGCAGGTCATGTATTTTGTCTGAAAGCTGCTAAGAGAATTGCATTGTTGGTCATGTTGGCCTGTACTGAGAGAATAAACGTTAAGAGATGTGATGCTGTGAAGTTTACAGTTTTATTGTAGTCACTTTACATTGTCACAGACTTACAGAAGTATCAGTATAAACACTGGCACTTCGGAGTTCTTGTAAATAGTTTAGAATTGAGGGAAATTTTGAACATCTACAGTTGATTATTGCCTTGCTCCAATCCACTCGCACTAGTTTCAGTGTACTCAGTAGCCAAGGTCAGTAGTTTGTTTTAAACAAAAAGCCCAAAACAACAAAGCAAGAGCAAACCATGGTGCCTCCATCAGATACAAGGCAGAAGACGGGAGCTGTTGAGAAAGATGCTCATGTTCTTAGTGAGGCTGCAAAACTGTTCTTTAGTTGTAAGAAAGAAATTAAAAAAAAAATATCTTTCAAGTAAGAAATACTGAACTATAGTTAGAAGCTTCATTTAACGTTCAGAACTGCTCTAACAGTTGTTAGCCGACACAATTGAGAAGACTAAACGTTGTACAGAGCACAGAACAAGTGTAGTGAGGTAGTTTTTAAAACCAGATCCTGAGGCTCCTTGTATTTATACTCGAGTCTCCACTCAAGCAGGGAAGGTTATTTTGTCTTTAGTTTTAAATTGCATAGTAGAAGCACCATGAAGTAGGGATGGTGAGTGACACTGGAATTAGGCCAGATGAGTTCTGTGCAAGCAGGAAGGGCATTTCTGTTTTCTAGGACCTCGTTTAAAAGAAACACCACCAGTGCCACCAGAAAACCATTTGTAATGTCAGTGTATCCTTCTTGGGGAAACACAAAACCCTTCTTCCCCTCACTCCCCAATATATGGATTTCATGTTTGATTTAAAAAAAATAATAGATCTTCCAAGATTGGCTCTAAGATGATGCGTTTTGATCTCCAAGTGTAGTTGCTGCTCATCACATCACAGCTGTGTATGAAATCCCATTCACCTGCTTGTCTTACTCCATAAAACTTTGCTGAAAATAGACTTCCCTAAATGTTATTTGTAACAAATACTAGTAATTCACTATAATTTCATCAAGAAATTTGTAATGAGGTTTCTCAGTGTGTTTTACATCTGTTCTGTCGATAGGTCAGTTGTGTCAATTCTTAATCAAGCATAAATTAATTTGATGCTACTTTTCCAAAGCCATGTTTCCAGAGCTCTGTGTGAGCTTTCTGCTGAAAAAGGCTTCTTTCTGTATGTCACCAAGCTGTAGATTAACTTGAAACTGTTTAAAATTTCTCAAGTGTCACTTAACATTTCTTTTCAAAGTGTAGAAAAATGTTTAAATGTAGCCTTACAGGATAAAGATGACATACTGAATACATTCTAGAATGTAAATCTTCTTTGTAAAAAACTACTTCATTTTTTTCCCTGTATAGCAACAACTCTCCATTGTGCAATCCAAAGACGAATAAAGCTGTATAAAGGGAAGGTTCTTAACTTGCATTTATTAAGATTTCAGCATGTTTCAACGGATTTGACAGAAGGCTTCAGAGAGGGTTTGTACCCAAAAGCTATACCAGTGTCAGGTGAGCAACGGTCTGGGTTTCTGACTCTGGCTGTGAATAACTGCAGAGAGGGGTAGAAAGTGCAGGTGAACACTCAGCTGCTGCGAGCAACTGATGACTTAGGGGTCATTGTATTTTAGAGGCTCGGTTTGTGTGTGGTGATGAGCCAAGAAATGGACTCTGACTCCGATTTAAGCCTGCAGCTGGAGAGTTAAATAAGAACCAACACTGGCAATGTCAGGAAGACTTGACTTGTGCAGGAAAATGCACGTGAGTAACTTCATCTGGCTTGCTTTCACACCAAAATCAGCAGTGAGTAGAGAAAGCAGATGTTACAGCTGTAGTTGGAGGACAACAGAAAAAGTTGTGATAAATAGTGCAAAAATGGAAAGAAAAACACGTAAAGCTCTAACAATGCAAAATTGAGAAAAGCAATCACTCCAGGGGTGGATGGAACCTGCTACAGCAGCCCTTCAGGAGCACAGCTGAGCAAAGCCTGGGGCGGAAGCTACAGGGGCAGTGATCCAGTGGCTGATCAAGAATGCTACCCCAATCTAATGAACCACAGAGCAGTGCAGAGCATCTAGAGGAACCCATACAGAGCCCTTGCTCTGAAACACCATGGTCGCACAGCATCAGCACTGGGCCAGCAGAGCAGAATAAGGGGATGGCACCATGTGGTTTGTTTTTAACTTGAAGAGGCTTTTGCTATGAGGGGAGAGAACCAGAAAGCAGGAAAAGAGTAATTTCTAACACTGAAGAATGGCTGTACTTAATGGAAGCATGAGGCCCAGAAACAGCAGCAGAAAACAGTCACTGGCTGAACTGGAGTCCCTATGGGTCTGGACACAGAGAAGGTACACCACTGCAGCACATGCTGTCACTAGATTAGCACACTATTAAAGCTGAATTAGAAACCAGATCTCCCCTACCATGGGGATTGCCACATCACACTTCATTGTGCAGCCTCTGCCCAGACAAAGCTCTACTCTTCTTCCAAATACTTACCAGAAAAACGTGGTGAACATATATCCAAGTATAAGGAGATCTGCCACAATGTTGTCAATGCGTGATGTAGTCACATCATTGTTTCTGTATTTCAGTGTCTTATTTCTCTCATCTAGGAAGAGCTTAATTTAACCAGCAATTCCTCCTGAAGCAAAGTAGTTCTGATACAGTTTTGGAGCATGCAGCTTTACAGTGCAAAGAATTTATTTTATTCCTTTTACACCTTCTAATTTTACTGTGTAGTAGCAAGAGGAGGGAGGGAGATGAGGAGCGAAAACTACTTGTAAAGTCCTCACACTTCCAATGTGGTGTGACATAACTCCAGAGGGTTGCTCGGGCTGTGGTGTTCGGCTGACCATCAGTCTCATTAGCAGCTGATTTGCCCAGGTTATTCCAAGTGCTGGAGAGACTCTGTTACCCGCTGCACTGCAAAGAAAACATTACAGATTTCTGGATGTATGAATTTAATATGAATTATCTTCACTTCTGTTATAACAGAATGACACTGGAAGCAATGATCTACTGTCTCTATTTACAGTCATTTGCTGTATTTAAACCTATAGGTCTTCAAAGATAGAGATTATGGGCTATCCCCACAAAGCTACACACTGGGTTCTCTCCGTAGCAAGGTAATAATGGGAAGAGAAGTGCTTCCATACAGAAAAATTCAGTCATTCTTCCACCTACAGCCATGGTGAACACCTGCCTCTGTGTGTACCCTCTTGTCATAGGACAATAGCGATACAAAAATGGTTGAACTGTAAGTATTTGAACCATGTAACTGTTGGCCTTGGATTCTATTTGCAGGTATATTTAGAAACATTGGGCAGATATAACACTGTGTAACTATTCATTTCAACCTGAAGATTAAAACTTTTTTTTTCCCTGGAAAGAGAAAAAAAAAAGAGAATTACAAGATAACTGGGGAGGGGGTGGGGGCAGGAGGAAACTCAACCTTATCCTTGGTCTGCATCACTTTCTGAATCTGGAGGAAAAAACTAACACATTTATGTAGCACCTACCTATCTAGTAACTCTAGATTATAGTTAGGCTTCAAACAAGAAATATGTATGTTTGAATTCTGTTAATATCTTGGTGTTAAAGAGGGTTTTTTTCTTCAGCAACGAAATCAACCAATAAGGTTTGGTTGCTATATTTTTTTTTTAAGAAGACATAAAATGCTCTCAGTTATATCATAGGATCATAGAATGGTTTTGGTTGGAAGGCACCTTCAAGATCATCTAGTTCCAATCCCCTTGCCATGGGCAGGGACACCTTCCACTTGACCAGGTTGCTCAAACCCCATCTAACCTGGCCTTGAACACTGTCAGGGATGGGGCATTTGCAACTTCTCTGGACAGCCTGTTTGAGTGCCTCACCACCCTCGCAGTAAAGAATTTCTTTCTAACATCTAATCTGAATCTGTCCTCTTCTAGGTTAAAGCCATTCGCCCTTTCACTACATGCCCTTGTAAAACGTCCATCCCCAGCTTTCAAGACAAGCGATCAGATATGAGAAGCAAAAATATTCTTGCGTAAGCAAGTATAAGAGCCATTAACTTATTCCCCCCCTAACTTGCTGATTAGGGATTACCACGTAAGCATGTATGACAGTTTCTTCCACTTTACAGCACATTAGTTACTGCTGATCTCCAGCAAATGCCACACTGCTGGGTAAAATGCTCTACCACTCTTAACATGCTCTGGTAGATTATATTGAGTTATAAAAAATACAGTGGTTAAATACTGCCATGTATGTCATCATTGTTATATTTCTGTTGCAGATGGCTTACCTACCACCACACTGAGCAGCTTCCGACTCGCTCACTCTATCAGTCACCTGAAACACAAAAACGATGGTTGAAGCTGACCTGTAGTTATGCATTTGTTTTAAGCAAGCAGAAGGGCAGGGAAGGGAGTGAAGCCACGAAAACCCAAGTTACTGCATCACATATTAAGCCGAGTTAGAAAACCCTCATTCTTTCCAGGCAAACTAAAAGGGAGTTGTGAGGTATAATCTTAGTTTACAGTGCTACAATATTTAGCTAGCTACAGCTTACATGAATTTAACTAGTACTAGATGTTTAAATTGTAAAAAAAAAAAAAATAAAGTTGGTTAAAAAATTAGGATGTAAAAAAAAAATAAAGTTGGTTAAAACATTAGGAGTAACTCGAGGCTGAAATTTAAATCCTACTGAATTTTAATGTGATTCTTACTGAAAAGAAAAACACTGTATGTGCCTGAAGGCTGTTCTAATTACTGCCATGTATGAATTCCAATACACTCCCCTCCAGTTATGGTAGTAAAGGTAAGGTTTTACACAATGGCCATTCCATAATTTCAGAACTCCTCCTAGAAACAAATCAAACAAGTAGCAGTTTACTTGATGTTTCTAGAACATCTTCCTTCTTGATATAAAATTCTTCTTGTTTGTAACTTCTCAAGTTCAGCTTTTCTCCTTACACCTTCTCCTCTGCTGTGAGAAGGAAACCTCAGGGCTGAGTACTTAGTCATTGGATGGAAGGTCCCACCAAAAAGGGAGTTTCCCAGTAGTGGATTGCCTACACATCTACTTATCCCTTTCTGAGGCCGCATTCCGAGTGTCAGTGCTTTATCTCCAGCATGCACACGCTCCTTTGATTTGTGATTAGATAAAAGCAGTGGCATGCCACTTCTACAGGATAGATGCAGCGTCTCACCTAGTTTTCTCAAAAGAGTAGTATTCTTGACTAGTATTATTGTGGGGTTTTGGGTTGCATGAATTCTAGTATTTTACTAATCTCAGCAGTTACACAGAAGTGCTGAGCTTCACAAAAATGCAGCGCAGACCCTGGTGTTTCACTGCCTCCTGTGTATGTGGAACATAATTATTCCCAACACAATCCTGCTGGCAATGACACTTGAAGTTAGTGTTAAGAACTCTTGTTATTTTAGTTTGATGCTTGGCCCAATTGCTATATGTATCTATTTTCATTAGCTTTAATGGACAGCCTTTGAGGTCATTAACAGTCTATAAAGGCTTCAATGCTATTCTTAAACTTTGAGAGGTTAAGATTTACTAGTTTAAAGTATACCAGTTTAAGGAAGCTTTAGTTTCCATCTGTCATTAATATTCGGTTGACAATGTTAAATTTAACACCAAATCTGCGTACACATTTCCTCTTCCCCAACCATATATTAAACGGTCCCTATAAACTAAGCAGCAGTTTTGATGTCATACCTGATTAATGCACACTATTGGAGTCCTGAATCTAGTGCTTAAACTGTGAAGCTGTGCACCAAATGTCTGCAAGTACCGAGCCTTTGTAACAGAGTCTGAAGCTCCGAATTCACATCGAAACAAGGCAGCAATAGAATCGATGACCACCAACCGCACCATGCCTCTTGCAAGCAGCAGGGAAATCCTGTTAGTAATGCAGTTGTGAAAGGTATCCTACCGCAAAATACAAACAGACAGTATTAGAACAGTTCCAATACCTCTGTTTGTAAAACTGAGGTAGTAATTACAGGTAGCACTGCTGAAACACAAGCTGATGGAGTTTCTAGTCATAACGTGAGTTTGCAGATCTTTAAGCCTCACCAGTAAACATTTTTCACAAATGTCTTGTGCTTTCACCTGAAGAAAAAAAAATAGAGATCAAACTGGAATGTACAATTATCTGCAGCTCTGACTTGAATCAGCAGTTTACATCTCACATTTCACATCTCAAGAGTGCAATACTACTATCCTGAACCATTCTCTTTTGCAAGAGTGGTTCTCATTGAAACACTTGAGAATCAAAACTAATATTAAATATTTAAACCCTAAGTTACAGACTACACTGCTGTTCCGCTAAAGATACTTTAACAGTAAAATACACAATTGCTACAACAAATCCATATTGATCAAGAGTCTTGATCAATGAACATGAGTAGCTGCAACTTACATCCTTCCTATTAGAAGTTTTACTAATTGAGTATTTTGAAGTCACCAAAACATTTCAATTGCAAGATCTTTAACTAACAAATATTCTGTAGGGCTCAACATCTATTACATACTAATAAGGTCCTTGTAGCCTGGTATTTGTCTTTAACGATGTGGTCTACAGCAGCTGAGTGGAAAGGAGAACAAGCTCACAGCGATAATCTCAGCTTCTGGCCATCAGGAGTTTCAGTGTTGGCAAAAAAAAAGCAATAATGTGACAGTGACGCTTCTGATTGGTGCCACTCTTTACATCTAAATAGAGGTTCACAGCTAAGAGCTTACATTCATCCAAAATCACATAAGATATGCTCCAGCATTCCACAGCTTTTAAAATGAAATTGTGATTAAGTCTGAATTACAGTAAGCTCTAGTCTACTGAATTAGCTGCTTTTTACAAAATAATACTATAATATCAAAGCCTTTTTTTTAACTGGAAAAGAGTTACTCTGAAGAATATAAGACTACTTTCCGTTCTGGAAAATGGATATTTTTTTGTTGTTTCTTTTGTTTCACTTACTGATATATCTTCAGGAAACTATGCTGCACTTCAAACACTTCAGTGTTTGTATGTGGTCCTTCTGTTTGTACAAGACATTCTTTTGAAGTGAATACACAAACACTGGATTCCTCAGCATGAAGCAAGGAAAAAAAATGTTGGGTTTCTACTTCAGCTGCTATCATCTGTCAGTATATAGCAATGCATTCTATGTATACGGATACACACACAAACTAAAACTGAATCTATATATAACAATATATGAATTGCAACCATCTACTGTGCAGTTGCTGGAATTACCAGGGAGTGTAATGTTTTACTTTTAAGGGTATTTTAGAGAGGTGTATGTTCTACTACAGGGCAGTTCTCCCCTTTTTACAGTAACATACTCTAACTTCCAGAAACTTTTAAGATTTCCAGTGAAAAGGACATGGAGAAGGTAGCTTAGCTGCTGCCTGGACCACAACGTAAGTGGTAAGCAAACTGATGTACACGATCTTCTTACACTTGAAAACTACAATTCAAAAAACCTAACAATTGGAATGATTTCAGAAGTGCTACTTGCAAGCCTTAGAGAAAACAGAACTTCAGACCTGTTATCAATAAAGAGCATATTAACAGCTACGTAAGAAAAAGCACGACAAAAGGGGGTTTACAAGGCAAAAATACAGTATATTCAGGTTGTGTATTTTTCCCATCCAGTTCTACTATGACATGTTACAGGTAAAGGGGCAAGCACAGCTGTGGTCATGCTTTGCCACTACCTATTCCAGACAACATTTTTTGTATCCTTTCCTTAAACTGCAGTTTAACAGCTATGTTATTACATTGCAAGCCAGTCAGGATACACGCCACCTTTTGCATATGTATTTATATCCTGTCTCCAAACTCAAAATCTCCCTAGAAGCTGCAGTAAAGCTAGTAGCAGTTGTCTACTACATTTTAATAAACATGACTTACAAAAATTCACTATATGATCCATTCTTTTAAAATATTAATATTTCTCTTTTAATATCCTTCATACTAAAACACAGTAATAGTTCTTTACCAACAAATTGCAGAGATTAAGTAGTATTCATTACAAATCTTGGTTCACTCAACCTTTTGTACGGTCTCCTACATGAAAAAAAATCACCCTGTGGTTACTGGATTATAGTGTAATAATCGCACATTCTTAATTCGTGTTACTACTTACTAATTCTGCTGCATGTTCAACAAAAATACTATTTCCAAATTTGATCTTCTGTATGACTTCAGCTGGAACATCTGCACGCAGCTTATGTTGTTGATCTATGAGTTGTTGCAAACGTTTACTTGGGAATACATCTTCTGTACAAATGTAGACAGCTCCTATAATCAAGGAAAGCACCTCCATTATTACAACAGGGCTCTTACACTCCCTTTTCTTAACAGCACAAAAACCCCACATTCTGCACTCAAAAGCTAGACGTGTACCTGGAAATTCATGCTACTTTTTTTGCAGCCACATTGAATCAATTATGAACAATAAAAAACCCCGCTCCTATGACTTCCCCATAGTTGACAGGTCCTCTTTTTGGTGCCTGCTGACACAATGGGGTTTTTGTACTCTCCACTAGGTGACACTCATCTTGCACAGCTGCGGAACACGTTGACCACCTAACTTCGGTAATTACAGGTATCATAATTTATCCAATCCACAAATGAGTGGCACTGCAGAGTTTGCTTGTTTTGGTCAGAAACACAAAGCACAGCACTGTACTGTGAGTAAAATCCCCTGTCCCTGCCAAACCCAGTACAACGAGTATTTTGATTAATTTCACTCACTTTTTTCAAGTTTCTTGTTTTTAAATTTACAAGTGGAGGCGTACTGATTGCTACAACAGGTAAGTCTGTTTAAAGAGGATCACTCATCCAATCTCAGTCCAATTAACTCTTCCTGAAAATGGTAGATTAGATAAGCAGCATTATACTTCAATCCCATTACTGCGAGTGACGTCTATATGTTGTTAACTGTGGTTTCTGGTTAACAAGTATGTGTTATTGAGGAGAAAATTAACCATACACATCAAACAGAAATACATGCAATATTTTCTTTATAAAACAAATAAATTGTTACTGTTATTGCAGAACTAGCCAGAATGATCAGCTAATACTTGAAGGGTTACATCTAAGTATTAAGTCCACTCACTGAAGTGATGATTGACGCTGCTAACACAGTTTAGCGGCTGATATGCTTGGCAATCTGAAATACCCTGAACAATTCCACCCCAATGGTCCATCCCTCCTCTGGCTCTCCTTGGAGTGGAAAGTCCCATTGCCAGAAGTAACTGCCAAATCCTCTATATATTCCACTGAAAAAAAATACAAAACTGTATCCAACAGCAGGAACTGAAAGATCTCAAGACTGGATCAAGTGAAAATTAATGGTTACTTTATCAATAAAACTATTTCGCTGGTGGACACCTGTATAACACAGGGTATTGAATTCTGAGAATATTCTATGTACAAAGATGAGGCTAAGCCTAATTTGCTGTAGGACTTAACTTGCATTTCAGCTTAACTCCCCCTAACCTCTCCATAAATTCTTACATAAATCACCTGACTTCACATGTGAAACATTGAAAACTTCAGAAATCTACCACGTAAAGAAAAAAAAAAAAACAAAATAAATACCATGCCCACTAATTAAAAAAAAAGTCTTTGACAGGTGAGAATTAAAGACCTTCCTCAATTATTATCACATGGAAAAATCCTTCATCATCATCTAGGCCTTCCATGGGAGGTCCTGAAATATTTCCACAATTTTTATTTCCATTCTACCTGATAACAGTTTCGAGTTATACTTCAGCTCCTTTTTACTTTCCTTGGCCCTGGCAGCCAATAGCACTCATCCCTCAAATATTCAGTTTCCATTCTTAACTGCCTAGCTTCATTGTGCATATACTCCTATCTGTGAGGGGTGTTAGAAGTTTATAACAATGAATAAGGACTACAATAAAGCATTAGCAATCAGAGCAGTCATGATCTCATCATGATTCTTGAACTACAACATACAAAAAACCTAAGAAGTTGAACCATGAATATATTTCCTGCTTTTCCCATTTTTTTTCCTAGCACTTGAGCAGATGGACATAAATTCTGTCTTTGGTAATTACAACTGAAGTAATTCACAATACCTGTAGACACAAATGAGCACATGTACAAGGTTCCATCAGCAAAGGAAAATTTTAAATTAATTAATAAATTAATTGATTAATTAATGAGTCCACAATTAACTGACTCCATTAAGTTTACAGTGACAATCAGTAGCTGGTTAAATAGTGCCTGAACTTGTATGAAGCTCAGGCAAGGAAAACACAGTAACCTATTAATTATATCACTTAACTGCTAAAGGCTTTCTAAATAGCTAATTAGGAAACAGTTAATTATATGAACCTTAATTTTCTTAACGATTTCCCTAGGTTAATTTCTCCTAATTGGACTCTTTTCCTATCACTCTCTAACTTGACAGTGACAGCTGAGTATCAAATAGGCAGGTGGGTATCTTTACTAAGGGCAATTCATACATTCCCAATCAGGTTTCAGTTTCACAATTTCTAAAAAGCTGTAAGTCAAGAAAAATTTCTAGTCACCATGTGTATCTAGCACGGGACTCACTCAGGTCAGCAATTACGTCTTGCAACACACCACAAAACTGAAAATCACAATGATGAAAATTCAAAACCAAGTAAACAAAGAAATAAAGAAAACCCACCAAGATATACAGCTTCCTGAAGCCCACGTTGTTTCTGAATTTCATACTAACAAAAGCTATGCTTACTTGTGTTGAGGTTCCTAAAGTAACTGGATTTCTCAAGTACCACTCTTACTCACAGCTGACTGCCTTCTGCACAACATTGCATATTTCTGAAAGACAGGGATTTCTTTACCGTGAATACTGGCTTACAGAGAAATTGTCTGCTTTTTAAAAATCACACCTGCTTCTAAGTGGCATGTCCCCTGTCCTCTCCTTGGTTTACCTAGAAAGCACATTACCTAGAAGTCCATTACTTGAGACTTCATGGAGGTTTTTTAAAACCAGATTTGTATTTTTAGATAGATTGGTGCTCTATTAACTACATAATTGTATTTCAATCCAGAGTTACTGCAACATTCAAGACATTTCAAAACAGAGAACCTGAGACACTTGCTAAAAAAACATGTTTTTCCCAGAATTAACTTACCTAGACAAAAAGAAACATAAAATTCTACTTAAGATCTTTGTTGAAGATAATTTCAGTGCAGTACTAAGAACAGTGATAGAATCATAGAATCATAGAA